ATATATATATATATATATATATATATATATATATATATATTATATGGCATACGATATCGAAATGCATATATATATTATAACATAAAGTGTGAAAGTACACGTATATATTGTAAAATATAATATGGAAGTTCATGAATGTATTTCGCTTTCTATTGTAGATATCATAAATTATCCTTGCATATGTGTGTTTTGATTCATTTTAAATTAGATTTTTATCCCTTATGAGGTATATGTGATGCTATGATGCATCCATCATGAAGTATTTTATGCATTTGAATATCTAATATATAGTGTGGGAGTTTATGAATGTGTTATAATTTTTTATTACATGTACTATACTCATGAACGCATACATTACAATTAACTTTGTATAAAAGTTATATTCTCTTATTATGCATAGTTTGTATGTTACTAAAATGATCATGTATCATAAAATATTTTATACATTTATTGATGTGAGAATATATGTAAATGTCATAATATGTTGTATTGGAATTTATGGTCATACTTTGAGTTCTATTACATGTACTATGACTTGGCATATACATACGTATTATGATTTACTTGATATTAGAGTTTAATCTTTTCTTTTCATCTACAGGTTATGCATTGCTAAGGAGATTATAAAATGATGAATAGACGATGAACCATTTTATGCATAAGATTTTGAAATCTTGCATACATAACACAATAAACACTCAACTAAATAAATTAATAAATGCTAATATTTATTGACTTTACACTTATTGTAGATCTTATTTTATAGGTAAATATATTTATTGACAAAGAGATAAGTGGATCAGTATCGATATAGATGATGATCTATGTGCATATTTTGTATATATAAATTTCATATAGAATATACATGTGGTGGTTGAGGTTTATGTTAACAACTATGTACATGTGTCAAACACTAATGTGTACAAGGAAAACTATGACTTTTTGTTTAGCAAATTAACATGTTCAAATATACTCACTTTTTTGATATATTATGTTTGACAGCATAAATAAATGGAAAGATGACATTCTATTTCAATCAAACATGTATGATATGGATTGAATTATGAATAGAGTGTTATATACATGAATGATTTATGAGTAAATTAAATAATTTATGAGAAAATAAGTAGTTTTTTGAATAATTTAACCTCAATAAATTAAATTAAAGAATCATCAACTATGAAGGAGTAAACCAAGAATGTTGTTACAATGATTATTTTTGTTTTTCTTCTACTATGCTCCATATCATGAGCAACTATACTAAATCATCATGAAATGTTACAAGTTATTTTAATTAATTGGGCTTCCAAAATAGTGCGGTACACAAATAACAAGTCTAGACATGTATTAATTAGTTAATTAATTAGTTTCATAAATCCTTTAATATTTACATATAGTTGTAATTCATGAAAAATAGATCCTCTAAGTTAAAACTCTAATTAGTAATAGTAACCTTCAAAAATTCCTTTGATAGTAAGGATATTAGAGGTATTTTAGTCAAGATAGGTGTTCTTAAATGTGAAAAAATAATATTTTTTCATTGACAATCTCTTTTTATTATTTATAATAATATTTTAAGAATTATTAATATTCATAAAATATTTCTCTATAAATGAATGTAAAAACACCCTAAACTTATCACTTAATTCTCACAAATACTTCTAACCCCTTCTATACATTTTTCTTTCCCATTCTTCTTCTCTGAAGCATTTTTTATCATCGATGATACATTTTTTATCGTCGATGATATAAAATGATAAAAAAGATAAATAAATAAATAAAATAATCTAAAGATCGAAGAGGAGGATGTGAATTTTGAGGGGTTGTGAGAAATTGAGAGGTGGTAGAAAATAAGACTATGATTGATAATTGAGACGATATATTTAATGAAATTATATTTTATTTTTTTCTAGATGATCGTATAAAGTAGTGGGTTATCAGTAGCAATCTTGAAAAAGAAATATAGTTGTGTTGACCATAAGAGTTATCTATTGAGGTCTTAAAAAGAAATAGTCAACATGATGACCTATAATCCAATCTATTGGGAGGGTTTAAATAATAATTTAACGATAAGATGCCAATTTAGAGGTCATAACACTCAAAAAATTTTAATCTTGATGGTCAGCTGTGCTGACTTTTATTTATCAAAGTCAAAACATCATTCGTTGACTTTTCGAATACCCCTTAATTATTTAGTTTGAGGGTTTGAATCCTCTGCATAACTTTGAAGATGAAGCTTTAACAATTTATTACAGATTGAATTTGGATTAAATTCTGCCTTTATCACTGACCATATGCCAAAAAAATAAAAAAATAAAAAAAAGAAAGAATTCGAATTCGAATAATTTAGTCAAGGGATGAATGCAATTGAGAGAATTATTTGGGCCTAACTCGGCCCAATATGGTGTGATCGGCCCGGCTCACATCCATATTTTGTGACTTCTGAACCGGCCTGGCCGGTCCGGTTCATTCGATTAGGCCTCAAGAACCCGGCCAGGTGAGCAACGATGATGGAGTCCGACTCGCTTCACTTCCTCTACCCTAACATTAGAACCCGAGGGGCACGTCTGCCCTCTTCTTCCCTGCCCCAGTAAATGAGAATTCTTCGCAAGGTATCGTCGATGGATCAAAAATTTTTCTATCTGATGTCGTTCTTGTTTAGTTTCAGCGCGCGTCGGATGATTGCTTGCTGTGTTTTCTGTTCTTAGCCTCAGAAAATTAGCCTGTTTTAACTGTTCTTGGTTTCAAAAATTAGGAATCGTTCTGTTCTTTGTATTTAATGCTTACTTTCTTGTGTTTTTTTGAGTTTTAATCCATGATTTTTCTTGCGGTTTCTCGTTCGCGTGATTGGAGCTTGTGTGATGTGAGCTATCGGTCCGAGATTTGTTTGTGATAAATTCGTTGGTTCGGTTTAACATTTGAATTTGTATGTGGAAGGCCTTCTAGTTGTCAAAAGTCCAAATTTTGATAGGTTGATCATGTACGGTAGTGACCCGTGCTCATTATTTCTAGAGCTTCAAGATGATGGTGTGCGAGTTTGGTTGCTTGTCTGGGATATAAGGTCTCCCAGTTTGATGTCATATAAGAATGCTTATGTTGTTGATTTTCTTTTCACCTTCAAGCATAGTAGAGGGAGCTGATATTTGAATTTCTTTCGAGGTGTAGGGTTTCCTTGACGTTCTTTCCTGCTCTCTTCAGCTCGTCAATGTGGGAGGGAGGGACATAGGTCGTAGTATAACTCCTTTTGCTTCTTGCGGACCTCTCACATTTATTTCTGGGAACCTTGAGGTCTGCTATACAACGTCGTCCCTGGCACCCACATCTTTCGACCAAGAACCAAATCAGACCAAAAGGGAATCTCTAGTTTCTCATAACCTAGAGGAAGAAGTGTATGCTCAACATATCAGGAGAGTGATTTTGAAAGTTAAGAATGGTACCGTTGAAGATGTTGTTCAATCTCTTAAGGGTGATGGATTTTGTTGTGAAATTCAACTTACAGCTAACCTTGTGGACAGTCTGCTGCAAAAATTTGGAGATGATTGGAAATCTGCTTTGGGTTTCTATGAGTGGGCTAGTTCACACAAGGGATACAAACATACACGGTTTGGACATGATAGGATGGTGGACTTGCTGGGAAAAATGAGGCAAATGGATCGAATGTGGGACTTGGTGCACAAAATGCATAGCGAAGGCTTCATAACACTGGACACAATTGCAAAAGTCATGAGAAGACTTGCAGGGTCCAGGAGATGGAGAGATGTTGTTGAGTTTTTTGACGAGTTAGAATATATGGGTTTTGTTAAGGATACGGAGACCATGAACCTTCTACTTGATACTCTTTGCAAAGAAAAAAAAGTTGAAGTTGCTCATGTAGCTTTTTTTGAGCTCAAGAATCACATATCTCCAAATGCTCATACTTTTAATATTTTTGTCCATGGCTGGTGTAATGCTCATAGAGTTGATGAGGCATTGTGGACTTTCCAAGAGATGAAAGACTTGGGATTCAAACCTTCAGTCATTACATACTCAATTATTATTCAAGCTTACTGTAACCAATGTAATGTCGGAAAGGCTTATGAACTTCTTGATAAAATGGTTGCTGATGGTTGCCTTCCAAATATAGTCACTTACACTATTCTTATGAATTCACTTGCTAAGGCACAAAAATTTGATGAGGCCTTGAGTATATTTGAGAAAGTGAAATCTGCTGGTTGCATACCTGACACATTATTCTACAACTCTCTTATCAACATTCTAGGGAGAGCAGGTCGACTTCCAGAAGCCTTTCATATCTTTGAGAAGGAGATGAAAATGAATGGTGTGAATTGTAGTATATCCACATATAATACAATGATCTCAATTTCGTGTCTTCATAAACAATGGCAAAGTGCTCTGAATGTCTTGGAGAAAATGAAAAGTTCATCTTGTAAGCCTGATCTTCAGACATACAGGCCACTACTTAAGTTATGCTTTAGTGAGGGAGAACTGGATGTCCGGATTCACAGCTTGCTGAATGACATGGCTGATAAATATCATCTCAGTTTTGATCTTGATACTTACACAACTTTGATCCATGGCCTATGTAGTGTAGGTGATATTGGATGGGCCACTCTCCTCTTTGATGAGATGATAGATCGAGAGATTCTGCCTAGGAGACAAACATGCAAGATGCTTTTGCAAGAAGTTGAACAAAGAAACATGTATGATTATGTAGAGAAGATAAGAATGTTGACAAAGCAACTATAAAGCTCACATTAGTTTATCTATATCTATTTAATTTGTGTAGACAGAGGACCTTTTTTGACATAGAAAAGTGAAATTTAGTTTTTTTTCATGTGATGCATTGGTATGTAAATAGACTGTACTCTCATTGATCAGATAAATTTTGTTCATCATTGCAAATGGTGCAGCATTTCTGTTTTATAAGTTAACATTCAAGCCAAAGTCCATCAAATGTTCTTTGGCAAAGAAAATGTGTCATTCTGCTTTGTTGAAACTAATATATGTTTGGAGGCCCATCTGTTAACATTTTAAGCTAAGTTCCATCATTTGTCTTATGATATCTTTGTTTGCAATCAAGTTGTTCTGTGCTGAATCTTTTGAAACTAATATACTTTGGAGGCCCCTCTTCATATTTGTAATCTAGTATTACCCTGACTATGATTCCCTATTGAAGTTTGTTCTTTCATACTTCATAGGGCTTCCTTTAGTAAAGCTTCATCATGTGGCCATAATCATTATTTGTTGCCTAAGTTATGTCTTATGTGCATTTTCTAGGTTAGGACCTACCTTTTTCTTTTGTAGCTCAAGGTCTGCTTAATCTTAGGATCAGTGACCAGCGGTAGTTTGAGTCTAATTAGTTTGTTAAGTGAACAAAAGTTGTTTTTGACTATGACAATTTAAATTGATGAATGCATAAGAATAGCTTTACTAGATCTTGTAACAAGGGATTTGATGGCTCATAGCTTAACTACTGATATTGTCCTCAGCAGAGCTAAATGGTGGGGGCGAAAAATCATGTAGCTGATGATGATTAGGAAGTTTTCTGGCTTGTTGTTCTTGTTATTGTGTGCTACTCTTCATTGGCAACAAAAATAACACGGTCATAATGTCCCAGCTATTTACTGCATAAAAAATCATATTTTTGGTTAAATTAAGAGGATTTAAATCAGTTTATAATTTCTAATAAGATCTTTTTAGGTATCTCTATACCTCCCCTTGTATCATTAACATTAATTATTTCATATTTTCTAATTACAACATCGGGTCTCCTTCACATATGGTTGAATTATCTTACACAAGTCTCCTTCAATTTATCCAACATCGGAGCTACACCTAATTGTTCATGATAAGAATGTCTTTTTTCCTATTTTTCCTTGTAATTCCATGTATCCACCTTAAAATTCTTATCTCAATACCATAAGCTTTTATATATATGTTGTTTCTTTCTTAACCGTGCAATACTTAGATCCAGAAAGTATCACTGCAATTCCAAAATTCAACTACCTTTGATGAGTATCCATGTAAATTAGCTGCACATTCCTTTTTTTGTTCAGCGAATTTTTTATAATCCCAATAGTTTCTTCTTAGTTTAAATCACGTGATTTTTGTGTTCCTTCAGTCAACTCATCTCATAGTTTTCTCCCTTCTTTCTAACACTATTTTATTGACTTTGAATAAAACTTCCATACAAGTTACTTGCAGTTCATATAAAATTCTGCGAAGTAAACCTTTAGAATAACCTAATGATCTATTAATGGAGTGATTCGTTCATATATTACAAGTGGACTGATTTTATTCGTATTATTGGAATGTATATATTTGAGTACTGAACCCAGTCCATAGAGATTGCACATGCTATAGTGCACTACTAGCTTGGTATGTTGTTGTTGAGTTCTTATCATCTTGGCTTGTGAAGCTTGAGACATCAAGAAAATACGAAGGCTATCAGTTCAAGTGCATGCTACTGCTGCAGACATGGCCTGCCAAAGTAGTTCTTTTTTTTGCTTTAATGTCTTTTTCTTTTTCTTAGAGTTGACATACAGATTCAGAAGTCATTGTTGTCTTACTCAAAGAACATTGAATTTTAAAAATTATTTTATAATATCTTATGTAAATTTTGCCTTGTATAATATTTTTCTATGTTCGTGAACAATTAGGTATCGTTTTGATAGAAGATAAGAGAAAATTATTTCAGATGATATGAGCATGTGCTTAGGAGACCTTCGGATACAATGATCAAAAGAGGTGAAATGATTAATGTCAGTGATACGAAGAGAAGTAAAGGAAGATATAAAGAAACCCTTATAGAAGCTATAAATAATTTAACTAAATATATGATTTTTTGCAGATCTCAATGATAGTAAAAGATCTATGTAATCGGCTTCAAATAATTGAGATTTTCAACTTTGTTGTTGTTGTTGTTGTAGGATAATACTTTTCTATCTTGTATGTTCTACCATGTGGAAGTAGCACATGGTTACAAGGTGAAATCTGATTATGAATGATTCTCATTTATTCTCTCCTGCCGTATCTGCATGTTACTACTGTGTACGACAGCTTTGATCAGCATTTTTTTTTTATTGCAACAGCAAAGTTGATACAGAGGATACAATTGTATATGGCAATGACTTGCACAAGATTATTGAGGGAAACCAGTATACCAAACAAGGCTGCTCCATTTATTATGGGCATCAGAGGGTTTGCAGTAGGTGGTGGCAATGTGGCAATGCAAAAGGTGCCTAAAGGTGTTGCAATTGCTGCTCCTAAAGCTTCTGCAGCAAAGAAAGAACTAAAAAGTACCACTGTTCTTGGAGCCAGTATCCTCAAGGATGATGCAGATCCTAAGATAAAGCCAGATACTGAGTTCCCAAACTGGCTGTGGCTTTTGCTTAACAAACTTCCTCCATTGGCTTTTCAAAGCCTTAAACATTTTGTTAAGCTGCATAACAGTGCATGTATTAGTGAAAACAATAGTATCAGAGTTAAAATTGATGGTTATGCTTAGTTGGAGTGAATAAAAATTCTATTTTCTGGTCCAATGCTGCATGCACTCGTGTTGTTTTACTCAGTACTGTGAACTTAGATGTGAGAAATTGGACCCTTTTTGTGTCCTACAAAGTAAAGTAGGCAGCATTTGGTATCGAGATGTATCAATAGTGCACTATGGGTTACCAATGATATACTTAAAAAACATAAAAAGTAATTTAAAAAATATCTAAAAATAAAAAATAGATTAGGGTTTTAAGTTGAAAATAAATATAATTTTAATATAATTTTAATATAATTTTAATAAAAAATAATCTAAATTAAGAAAGAATAATGATATATATTTTTTTGACTTTGAAGAATAATTTTATAGTATATTTTGAATTGTCCTTTAGTTAATATTGAATTATTAATAAGAAAATAGTCTGAATTGTTAGATGTGAGTGAAAATGAGTGTAAGAGAATTGAAGAGATCGAGAGTGATATGAGTTGAAAAGGATGGAGGAAAGAGTTTAAAAAATCTTTCATATAGTTTAAATTATCAATTTTATCGTTTGAAATAGGGTGATCTCATGTCTTGATTGACAATAGTCGAAATGCGATTGTTACTATCCAGACCCATGTCACACCCAATATGAGATTAGGTTATGGTACCGCATAGTAGAAAATAGTTTATGTATCTCTCTTTTCATATTGATATGTATTACTCATATTGAATCGTATGAGTCAAACCTTGGTAACAATAAAATATCACTGCAAACTATATTAGTCGACACTTTGAATGAGAACGTGAATCTCTTCACTATAGTTATTGGAACTATATTATGACTAAGAATCCACCTTACCTTATAGTTTGTCTTCTCCTCCCATGCTTCATATAGGAGATGTAATCCATGTGTCAGGCATAATAAATCCAAAAAGCCATGATCATCTAACAAATAAATTATATCTATGCTCAATGTCCCATATAAGAGAGATTAATTCCCATGTCCATTCTTCAGGAATGTCAACCCATGGGAGATACTCTAATGGACTCCTGCAATCAGTGACCCAATTCAAAATAGAAATAAAATACATGAATAATTTAAAATAGACTAAACAAATATACACATAATCCAAGACTTCAATAGTAAGATAGGAAAGGTGTATAATATATAGTCCCAAACAAAAATAATCATATCAAATGATCATCAAATTGTTAGGTTATATGATTATGAGATGTATTATGAATATGATTGAATTCTAATTATAATTATTAATAGAAAAATAGTTTAATTATGATATGATTCCTTAACTCTTCTAATTATTTATACTAAACCCTTTGTTCTCATCAATAAATAAATAAAATCTCCTAAAAATTATACATACAATGTATGGATACGTGAATAAGAGGGGACAGGGATATATAATACCATTGGAAGATTACATATCTTTTCTCTCCTCTTAATCATGTAAACTAGTCAATGAAAGATTGCATATCTTCTCTCATCTTGCCTAGATCCATAATTCATCGATCATATGGATCATATGAAAGATAAAAAAAAAAATTGAGTCTAATTTTTCTTACAGATCGATATCATTATAAATTTCGGATAGAAAGATAACATGAATGGATAGAGTATGTTGACTGGTTGATTTATTAGCGTATTAACTGTTAAGAGAATGCCTATGTGCTCATGACAATGAACTCAACGAATATTTCAAAAAAAGTTTATGGAAGGCTTTAATAACACATCAAATTAAATATCTATATTGAAGTCTAAAACTCATTAGTCATAATAAAAAAGTTTTGAACCCATTTAATGGCATGAGTATTTCAAGGAAAAAATTAGATTAATGATACAATAGGTAACGAAAAGTCAAAATCTTTGCCACCCAAAGTATCCAAACATGAAGTCCACCTATCAATCTACCTTTATGGCTTGAATTAAATGAGTGAGGAAACTAAAACCTTGAGGATTTATTGCTCCCACAGCCACATTTTGGACAGTTGAGCCACCCAGTCTGCACAGGTGAGGAATCATTTATGAGCACTCACTTGATGACATTTTGCTTAGGGTGGCCACATGAAGAAGGCATGAACATGTGTCCTATCCAATGTCTCTTGTGGGTGAAGTAATTAAGTAGTCCATCAATGCACAGTGGCTGAGAATGAAGTGAGGGAAGGTATTTAAGATTCATGGACCACAAGAATAGAAGTCCACTTTAATTTGCCTGACCACCTTTTGTTTGAGCAGCACAAGTGCTTGGCTGCCATTCATAAATTGGCATGCATTAATTGGAGAGGCCCTACATGTAGCACATATGATAATACCCAGCCATAATTAATGAGCAATGCTTATTAGTTCATTTTCCTGAGGTTGGCAGTGACACTGAATCACTAGTCCATGCTGACCACTTTAATTACATTTGAATGAATTGTGTCCTCTTGGAGTGGAGTGTGGTTTTTTTTTTTTTTTATGAACACTCTACCTAGAAAGAATTAGCCCAAAATAAAAGAACAACAAGAAAAAGAATTAGCAATGAAGATTTTAGATTTTATATTTAAAAACATCATGAACAAATTTGCTCTTTTTCTTCTCCATGCTAAAAATAATAAATATGCAAAATATGTTTTTATTTAAGTTATTTTTTTTTTTGGGAAAAATCTCTTTCTATTACATTGAGGTTATAACCATGAAGCAATAATAATCAACTAAAAATATATAAATGCAAGTTTTTAAGGTTTATAGGAAATATATACATGGATCTTTTTTTTCATAAAAAATATATTTAATTAAATTAAAATATTTAAAAATTTAATTGTGATTTATAACAAAATCTTGATAAGTCTCTTTTTATTTATCCTTGTGACATTAATATTAATTATTTTACATCCTCTAAATACAACATCTACACATATCCTTAGCATATATCTTTATGGTTTCAAATGATAACCAGCTCACATATTTAATTATTTATGAATAGAAATTTCATTTCATATATATTTTTAGTTAATTTTTATTAATAATGATAAAAGATTCAGTAGCCAAACCATTTATCCCATTGATGAGAAATTAAATAAGAAAATGAAGTCCATCAATTGATAACAGTAATAATATACCAAACAACAGTCTATATTTATTAGTCTCATCAAAGCTGGAGAATATTAATTAATACTCAAAAGAAATGGTATATAAATTACACAGGTGTCTGCGGATGGCTTTACCTGTTTCATCTTCCTCTCTTCTCCTCTGCGCCCGCTCGCTCTCTCTCTCTCTCTCTTCTCGGGGTCTTTGATGGCGACGGAGGTGAGCTCCTTGGCACGGATGCTGACGGGCTACGGGGAGGAAGGCGAGGGGCAGCGAGAGCAGGAGCTCGTCACGCGGGACTTGCTCGGCGGCGCCGCGGAGGTGGATCTCGACCTCCAGGTCCCGGCCGGGTGGGAGAGGCATCTCGATCTCTCGGTACGCGCTTCTTGCTCCAGCCCTAGTACACTTCGCTTCTTCCCGATCCGTCGTTTCTGCGGGTGTAGGCACCTCCGAAACAGGATCTGTTTTCATTTGGTATCGGGATAGGGACACGATTGGCCGGGGATTCAGAAACCAAGGAGAATCACGTTCCTTTTGACCCCAATTCTCAATGATCTTTGTTGCTCGATAAAGGAGCCATCTTTCATGGCGAAGGCCTTTTTCTCTGATGAGAAAGAAGCCAAATTTTGGTCATTTTTTCTGCTCAAACGAGTGGGTTTTTGGTCAATTCTCGCTCTAATTCGACCGGGTATAATTCGATTGCTATGGCTTCAGACGGGGAAGACGTACATCCAGAAGCGCGAGTCGGAACCCGCTCCCCGCCTTCTCCACGACCTTAACCTTCCGCCACCGTCGCCCTCTGTCGGCCAGAAACTGGAGTACCAGAGCGTCTGCACCCTGGAGAAAGTCAAGTCCGCCCTGGAGCGTGAGTCGCGCCTCCTCCCCCGGCCCGATGCTTCCCCTTCTCCGCCCCCCTCCTCCTCCTCCGCCTCCTCCTCCGCCTCCGCCTCCTTCCTGTCCAGGCGGTGGACGGTCGAGCAAGCCCAGGACGGCGTCGCGTCGACGGGCCCGGCGACGATGATGGCGATGGCGGTGGCTGTGTGCCCCGCGTGCCTCCTCTACGTGCTCGTCTCGGAGGTGGACCCCCGGTGCCCGAGGTGTACGGCGCACGTGCCGGTCAACGTTCCCCACAAGAAGCCATGGATTGACCTCAACTTCTCCCTTCACGCTGATAACTGTGATTTGTATTAGAGAGAATTAATTACATATAGTGAAGAAAATTAACACCAAAAAACCAAAGACCTATACATTCCCTTCCCTTTTCATTGTCAAAATTATTTTTGAGTTCACGATAAAAAGATTTTTTTCCCTATAAAAAAATATTAAAACATATATTTTTTATTTATTAAAGTGAACTTATTAATGCATAAAAATATATTGAGGTGTCACTTTTATCTCTGCAAAAAATTATTTTTTATGAATTATATTATTATATTTTCATCAATATCAATAACTAAAAAATAATTTCATAAACGTTTAGAAAAATTGGAAGGTGAGTCCTTTGTGCCAATTAATTCAATGCTTTGACCGTTGACTATTCTTCGAGTCGAGCCGAGTCTTTTGTGCCAATTAATGTTGTCGAAGAAGAGTTCAAAGCCCAAAAGGGATTTGTGATTCACGAGTTTGCCCATAAATTTAATTGGCCATACAACGAGCAATCAAAACGTAGAAGAACAGAGCATGACCAATTAAGGTTACAGTTGTCCATCAATTCCTTATTCTTATTACTAGTATATATATTCGATCAACTTTATTACTGATTTAATGTTCATTGACTAATCGTCTTCAACATCAACACGCAATGACGTAGAACTTGATGGCAATTAGTATTTGAGTGCCGTAAACATGAAAAATGCATAAACATTAAGACTCGATCACAAAGCTATATCATCAAGTCAGTCCTTAAATATCTGTGTGTTGTATTTATGTAACCCATAAAGACAGCAACATGTACCTAAACCCATGGCGTATGATGGCCAATTCAATGATGCCAAATGTCTTGACCCGGCACCATAATGACATGGATTCTTTTGTTGTGTCATCTTGACAAGAACAAGAGTGTCAAACGTGTGGCAGTGGCGCTGTATCCCCCTCGCAGATCGGATCTTGTTATTTCACTCAGTGATATATACCATTTCACTTGGAGACTAAATCATATGATATATTTTTTCGTTTGTTAGTCTTCGAGATGATTCGTATGATTTTTGTACAAATTTTAATTCTCTCATTCTTGCTACAATAATAAAATAAAATATTCTTAAAAAAAGTACCAAATGAATTATATATTAAAATATAAATTATAATCATATATTATATGTATTATATATATGTTATATATACAATAATATTAATAAGAAATTAATATTATATATATATAACATAAATATACTAATTTCATGATCATTGTAATTTATTGTCATATGTTATAGTAGATATTTATACAAAATATAATTATTTAGCTTTGCTCCTACTTGAAAAGGAAATGAAATAACCAGACCCCATATAACTTGCCCCTAAAAGCAATAATTTCTCTCTATATTATATACTTGTAATGAACTTGAGATAGATACATGTGTATGGTAATGGAAGTAGGAGAGAGATCATAAGCAATAGCTTTGAATTAATAATCATAAAATCTATACTCAATAGATTTCATTCATATAGGTTTTGTATTCAAACTTCCTCACTGCTTTCCCCAAGTAAGGTATATTGAGAAACCTAAAAGAAATAGTTATGAAGTTTTTATTGGAAAAAACATGTTAAAACAGGAGATTCTTTTCCCTTTTTATATATCAAAATAGGTTTCTCATCGAAATACCAACTTGATATTTAAATGAAAATATCAACTAGCACAGTATAAACAATAGAACAAACAATAGACCAAATCTTTTTAACGTGGAAAACCGAAAAAAACCACAGGACGGTAGTCCACCTCAAACTTCTACTATCAATAGTAATGATAACAGATTTATAATAGATCTTCTCTAGAATAACTAGAGGATCACAATAACATCAAGATCATAGATCTTGACTCAAGAATAGCATATCTTCATTACATATGGTGGATCTCCTCATAAAAGAATTCTATGTCTCACAAAGTGGATATAGTAGGAAAGTACCTTAGAGAGGGTAAACTGTAGATCAACACTGTGAAGATTGTAGAGTTTGCTGCTGTTGAA